GGCTTTGAATAATGCCTGTTTTGTAAAGACACCAAGACATAGTGTCATGATCGGGAACAAACTGGATGATGGTATGGTGCTGATGGCGTGAACACTGTTTGGAAGGAATATAAGCAAGTCTGGTGGCTATAATGTCAAATGGCCAAGCTATTGTTTATTGGCCATTTTATAGGAACAAGTTCTTTTTTAAGCCCAAACGCTTACATCATTCATAAACTGAAGACTTGAGAAGTGTCTGGCCATGTACAATGACTAGAATAAGAATGCACGCTGCATCAAGACAGATAGCACAGCTTGAAAGCCCTGCTTGGAACCATGGGAATTGTAGACACAGGGAAAATGGAGTGTTAGCTAGACGGATGAAACTCCAGGCAGCCTTCCCATGCCCCCAAACACATCATTGGCGTGTGGGGACAGCAAGAAGCTGTGGGGGAATTGAGTCCCATGCTGTCAGGGAATTGAGTCACAACACATGGAAGAAGGCAGGAGGAAGAGAAACTCAGCACAGAGGAGTACACACCAAAGCTGACCAGGCCACGTTCACCATCTGATGGGCTAGGCTGGTCAGTCATGAGCCGTCCGTCCTTCAGGGTCTTGGGAGAAAAACGTTGGTCTGAATATAGGGCTATTTATTTAAGTAGGAGAAATGTATTAGCTAATCTTGAAAGGGAAAGAGAGAGAGAGAGGAAGATAGAGAGAGAGAGAGAAACAGTGACAGAGAGACAGAGAAAGAGACATAGGGACACAAGGACAGAGAGAAGAGAGAAACTGACAGTGACAGACAGAAAGACAGTGAGCAATAGAGAGACTGAGAAAGACAGATGCACACTCACACACACACACACACACACACACACACACACACACACACACAGAAAGACAAAGAGACATAGGGACACAGGACAGAGAGAAGAGAGAAACTGACAGTGACAGAAAGACGGCGAGCAATAGAGAGACTGAGAAAGACAGATACACACTCACACACACACACACACACACACACACACACACAGAAAGACAAAGAGACATAGGGACACAGGACAGAAAGACAGAGAAAGAGACAGGGATTTCCCTGGGTAGGGAGATAGTTAGGTATTTCCAGGCTGGTGACATTTCCATTGCAACATAAATAAATAGTAGTTTTTCAGAAAGAACATTCCAGACACAGAGGATTCTCTAAGTTGGGAGCAAGCTTTCTAGAACTGAGGAAGGAAGGCTCCTGGGGCTGGAAAGGAAGAAACAAGGGAGAGCATGGAAGGAAATCAGCAGGAACCAGATCCTACAGGACATTAAACTAAGAATCCTGACCTGCTTTCCTCCCCGTCGACCCATTCTTCCCAAGGTCCCCTGCATGACAGGGAGAGCAGGCTTTCAGCTGAGACTTGGGTCTGGAAGTTCCTGAGGAGGCCAGCTTCCAGGAGCTATATCATTTTCTTCAGAAGCTTTTAAGCAAGCTGAATATGTCCTATCTGCGTTGATGTATTAATGGTTACAATCTATAGGAAATCATTGTCAGCAATTATTGCTGTATCAAGCAAAGTAATTACCAAGACAATTTTGGGAAGCTCTTGGCTACATACAATTCATTCCCTATTGTCTACCTTCTGCTGGTCATTGCACAATGTCACAGAGCAACTGGGTGGAAAAAAAAACATATTTAATCTAATAAAGGTCGCCCTCCTGTCCCTCTCACTCCGTGACACACCATTTACCGAACCATCCATTCATGTCCCCAAGAACAAAAGAGGGGCTCTGCCAAGCAAAGGAATGATAAAGTTCAGTTGGAAATTAGGGAAGAAATTGCAAAACTATTTGAGGCCAGGGCCACCATTGTGCACAGAAATCAATAGCTGTCAGCCAACGAGGGAAAGGGGGAATGAGTAAACCCAATAAATAACACTGAGAAGGGAATTGGGACTCAAGCATTCCATCAAGCAGCGAGTAGGGCACCAGGTCTGGAGTTCTCACATGGCTCTAAGGGTGGCCAAGCTGTGGATGGCTGCACTTGTGAAATGTCAGTTGACTCCTCTTCATGATGGAAGAGTCAAGCACCTGCCTGGTGGCTTCCAGGGAAGAGAATGTGAAGTAAATGTTCAAACCAAAAACATCACCAGCTGGGTACCAGTGGCTCGTGCCTATAATTCCAGCTACTCTGGAGGCTGAGATTTGAGGATCGCAGTTTGAAGCGAGACAGGGCAGGCAAGTCCTTGAGAGTCTTACTCTCCAGTTAACCATTCATAACAAAACTAAACAAAATAAAACAAAAGCCAGAAGTGGAGCTGTGTCTTTGAGTGTTAGCTTTGAGCAATAAAGTTCAGGGAAAGGACCTAGTCCTGAGTTCAAGCCTCAGGACCGACACAAAATAAGAAAGAAAAAAAGAAAAAAGCTTCAACCTCACTGTGAGTTTTTCCGCCTCTGTTTGAGTTTATCAAATCACAAAAGGCTGAGCATTGCCTGGAGGAGTCTGCCTTACTTTCTCAGACTGTCTGAGAAGATAAAGATAAAAAAAAAAAAATCCACAAAATTATTTAGTTTTAAAAAAGATGTCCGTTGGGCTTTCTTTTCCCTTCTCCGATCATTGCCAGTGAAATGAGTTCCTTCCAGCTTATGTTCAGAAAAGTTTAATTATTCACACATCCTCACAAGAGCCCTCCCTATATTTAAAAAAAAGCCATCAAAGGGAATTCAGGATTATGGCTAACAGAAACTGAAATGCTGAATAGTTTATAGCATTTCTCACACTGCGTCATCTCTCCTCTTCATTAAATAAAACAGTCAAACAGTTGATATACCTATCTTTGTTTCACTTTGTTTTGTTTTTCACCTTTTGTGCAGGTACTGGGACTTGAACACAGAGCCCGAGCACTGTCCTTTAACTCTTTCACTCAAGGCTAGTACTCTACCATTTGGGCCACAGCTCCACTGCCAGAATTTTGGTGGTTAATCAGAAATAGAGGGTTTCTAGACTTTCAGATCCAGGTTGGCTTTGAACTGTGATCCTCATCTCTCATATGCCTCCTGAGTCGCTGGGATTACAGGTGTGAGCCATTGCCACCCCTCTTTCAGTAGGTTTTGGGGCAGACTTAGGAACAGTGTGTGACCAAGTGGCAGGGAGAGAGATGACAAGAGAGAATGAGTGTGACCAATGGGTACCATGAGGTTCTAGAGGTGAATGTGAGTTCTGTGTTGTAGCCCTGGTGATGGACCATACTCATGACTTCTGTCTCTGTGTGATTGTGCAAATACCACAGCCCACTTTGCAGTTGAAGACACTGAGGCCTCTTAAGGTTAGCTTCTCCTTTGAGGTTTCTCTGCTAAGAAGGTCATCAGCTGTAAGGTACAAAGTAGGATTGATCTGGGTCTAGAGCCTGGGCTTTTAATAATTATGTTCTATTTCCTCACCTATGCATCCATCCATCTGCCATCTATCCATCCATCTATCATCCATCTATCCATCTACCCATCCACCCATTCACCAATCCATATACCCATCCAACCATCCATCCATCTATTCATTTATCCATCCATTTATCTATCCAACCATCCATCCATCCATCTACCCACCCATTTATCCACCCAACCATCCATCCATCCATCTATCTATCCCTTTATCTCTCCGTCCACTCACTAAACATCCACCATTCACCATCTATCTGTCATGCAGTGCCTTCTGAGTCTTCTCACCTCCTAACTCATTCATATTTCTCACCTCATGACTGTGCTCATGCTGTTCCCTTACCTGGAATTCCTTTCCTTTTCCCATTTCCTCAATTGATCCTTCCAGATTGCTTTCCTGGCAATGCCAGGCAGGATTAGACACTGGCTCAGATTTTCCAGTTGTACTGTTCCAAATATTGCAATTATTGTCAGATCAGAGACATGCCTTTAGACAATTTGCTCATTGAAGGCCGTTTATCTCAGTTTCCCAAATGGAGTCCAGGACAAGGGAGGAGCTGCTAAAGGAGCACCTCATTGGGTCCGTGTGTAAAATCTTGTGGCTTTATCTCAAGCATATTCAACAGAAAGCTAGAATGGACTGTCTCTTTAAGAGGACACAGAGCCCATGTTTCAGAATGTGTCACCATTCTCTGACCCCAGTCTTGATCCAAACAGTGTGTTCAAGGGTTCCAGGACACTAACCCACTTTTCCAAGTGTCTGTCACGAAGGTGACAGGCTGGCAGGAAATTCAATTCAGCAAACATTGGTAGAACAGCTAAAAGAGCTGAGTCCTCACTTTGAACACAGATGAGAGGCTGAGATCAGAACATCTCGTGTGCCCCAGGCATCCCCGAGCCCTGAGCTCAGGGAACAGGACAGAGGAGGAGCCTTCCCTGCCACAGAGCAGGGCGGCCGGCCATGCCTGGGACAAAGGCAGGGCACTCACCTGTGATCCGGTGGAGTAGCCACAGCCACCAACACCAAACTCACGGAGCCCCTGAAATGTGGCTGTACCCACCCACCAAGCTCCATTGCTTCCTTCATTTCCTTGTATCCCAAGGAAATAGATGGAATGTGCGCATGGCAATATGGTTTGGGGAGGAAAAATAGCACAGCAATACAGTTTTCCCAGATATGCAAGGTCTAGAAATGGTTTTCATTGAGGGAATATTCTAGAATATATGTATATGTATACATACATATATATATACACATACATACACACTCAGAGTCAGTTGCCTTCCTGTTAAAAAGTTTTTGTTATTATAAAAGTGATATACAGGGGGGTTACAGTTACAGAAGTCAGATAATTTGTTTTTGAACAATGTTCTCCCTTTCCTCACTCCCTGTTTTTCCCACTCGTCCCCACCCACAAGTTGGATAGTTCATTTTCAACATAGTGTCTAGTGAGTACCACTGCTGCCTTTGTTCACCCTTTGTCCCTCTACTTCTGTGCCTCTCCTACCCTCTCAGAGACAGGTAAACAAGACAGAAAGAAATCAAAAATAACAACAGAGAGGGAGGTGGGAATCTTTGTTCCCATTTCCTGAAGTTTGTTTAAAAAAACGTGGAGCGCTTCACGAATTTGGATGTCATCTTTATGCAGGGCCAGGCGAATCTCCTCAGTGTCCTCTTGGTTTTAATACATGCGTTACAGAAGCAAGCGATCAGTTGTCTTTCTGTCAGTAGATTATGCCTGTAATTCTAGCTACTCAGAAGGCTGAGACCTAAAGATCAAGGTTCAAAGCCAGCCCAGGCACACAAATTTGAGACTCTTTTCCTCCAATTAGCTACCGCAAAAGCTAGAAATGGAGATGTGGCTCAAGTGGTAGAGCCCCATGCTTTGACTGAAAACGCTAAGGAACTATGCCTAGGTTCTGAGTTCAAGCCCTAGTATTAGTACCAAAAAAAAAAAAAAAAAAAGCTCTCAATAAGGTTGGCTCTTATTCCTAATGGCTTTATGATTGTTTAAGATTATTAGTACTCAAGCTGATTCAAAACTTTGGCGAAGTAGCAGGGTATAAAATTAACCCTCAAAAATCAATGGCTTTTCTGTATGTCAACAATGAGAAAAGTGTGGCTGAAACTAGGAAAGCAACTCCATTCGTAATAGCGCCATAAAAAATAAAATACCTAGGAATTAACTTAACCAAAGAAGTAAAGGACCTCTATGATGAAAACTTTATAAACTTGAAAAAGGAAATCAAAACAGAACTTAGAAAGTGGCAAAAACTCCCATGCTCCTGGATTGGAAAGATCAACATCGTGAAAATGGCAATACTTCCCAAGGCTATCTACAAATTCAATGCGATACCTATCAAAATTCCAACCTCATTCTTCAAGGAAATAGAAGAGGCAATCCAAAAATTCATATGGAACAATAAAAGACCCCAAATAGCAAAAAACGATCCTCAACAGAAAGAACAGTGCTGGAAGAATATCAATACCAAATTTCAAACTCTACTACAAAGCCATAAAAATCAAAACAGCTTGGTACTGGCACAAGAACAGACCCCAGGACCAATGGAATAATTGAAAACCCAGAAATGAACCTACAGACTTATAGCCATCTAATCTTCCATAAGGGAGCTAAAAAAAAATAGAATGGAAGAAAGACAGCCTCTTCAGTAAATGGTGCTGGCAAAATTGGTTAACTACTTGTAGAAAACTAAAGCTAGATCCTTATATATCACCCTGCACCAGAATCAACTCCAAATGGATCAAAGACCTCGAGTCAAAGCAGACACTCTGAAAACATTACAGGATGGAATAGGAGAAACCCTAGGTCTCCTTGGCACAGACCGAAATTTTCTTAATAGAGACCCAGAAACACAACAAATCAAAGAAAGATTGGACAAATGGGATTGCATGAAATTGCAGAGCTTCTGCACGGCAAAGGACATAGCTAGCAAGATCAATAGAAAGCCCACGGATTGGGAGAAGATTTTCACTAGCCATACATCAGACAAGGGTCTCATATCTAAAATATACTTGGAACTCAAAAAATTAAATCCCCCTACAACAAATCTTCAAAGAAACAACTGCCCAATAAATAAGTGGGCTAAAGACTTAAAGAGAAACTTCTCTGAAGAGGAAAGAAGGATGGCCAATAGACACATGAAGAAATGCTCAACCTCCCTAGCCATAAAAGAAATGCAAATCAAAACAACATTGAGATACCACCTCACTCCAGTTAGAATGGCTAAAATCAAGAACTCTAATAAAAACAGATGCTGGAGGGGATGTGGACAGAAGGGAACCTTACTGCATTGTTGGTGGGAGTGTAAACTTGTTCAACCACTTTGGAAAGCAGTATGGAGGTTCCTCAAAAGACTCCACATAGAGCTCCCCTATGACCCAGCAATCCCACTTTTGGGCATTTACCTAAATGTTCACAAACAAGACCACACTAAAGCTACCAGCACGACTATGTTTATTGCAGCATTATTTACTATAGCTAAGATATGGAACCAACCCAGATGCCCCTCAGTAGATGAATGGATCAAGAAAATGTGGTATATATACACAATGGAATTCTATGCCTCCATCAGAAAGAATGACATTGCCCCATTTGTTAGGAAATGGAAAGGCTTGAAAAAAATTATATTAAGTGAAGTAAGCCAGGCCCAAAGAAACATAAGTCCCATGGTTTCCCTTATTTGCAATATCTAATATATGTCTGAGTCAAGCAGAAAAAGTCAGATAAGTTGATGTTAGGGAAATGAACCCTAAGATATGTATTCAAATGTTTTTTTTCTTTCATGCGATTGTTTCTGACACATTTATAAGATTATTTCTTTGTTGCTTTGTATGTCCCTCCCCCACGGTATAACCCCTGCTTTCACTGTATTTGATGTTGTTATAATTTGTGGAGGGGAAGGGGAAAAACAAATCGTTTAAATAGGGATACAGGTGGACCCATTGCAACAATGAGATGTGCAAGTCGTTATGTCGAAAACGAACTTTACAACTTTGGTGCGGGGGGCAGGGCAGGGGGGGGGAGGTTGCAGGGGGGAGGAGGTTGCAGGGGGGAGGATGGGAAGGGGAAACATAGGAGGAGGCTACAATGCTTGATAAGAAATGTACTCATTATCTTGCCCATGTAATTGTAACCCCTCTGTACAGTATTTTCACACACAAAAAAAAGATTATTAGAAAGTACCTCAAGGCTGTGCCAATCTTCTAGAAAGTTCTATGAACCATGAGACTTGAGACTCCTCACTAAGAGAGGGGTGTAGTTTCTAAGATCCTTGTCCGGGTCTTCTGAGGTTAGTGCAGGCCAACACTTACATCCCTTAACTATGTATTCTACCCAAATGCTCAGGTGGAAAGGAGAAAGAGTAACAAGTTAAGTTTTGTTTGGGGCCTCACAGAGCAAGGCATTTAAAAAAAGTAATCATTTCCTAAACATATATTGTGGTTCTTCATTGTTTAGTGAATAATATATATGTATACACACACACACACATACTCCCAAGCCACCTTGGAAAGCTGGGACGTGGACACACAGGACAATGAGAGTTAGATGAGCAGGAACACAAAGTCAGGGGTGCTCTTGAATGCGTCAGAAGAGAGAGATTGAGAGAGGACACTAGAGGATATGCATAGGGAATGTTCGGGAACCCAGGGAAGAGTTCTGCAAGTCAGTGAAGTGCCAGGCAGGCCCAGTGATGCAGGAGAGAATCATGGGGCCAAGACAAACCCCAACCCCTCCCAGTCCACAGTCATGGGGTAAAGCCAGGCTTCCCCAACGCCACACAGGGACACGCCAAAGACCCTGCAGGCGAGACACCGTGACGGACAGATCAAGGAGGAGGCTGCCAAGAGCTCCCTGAGACCACACAGGAGGAAAGACACCCCCTGAGCAGAGCCAGCTGCCGAGGAATGGGGAGTAGGGAGGAGAAGGAGGGGAGGAGGGGTGAGGAGAGGAAGGGGCCAGGACCCTGTTGTCTTCCTTGAAGACACTCAGAACTCCAGCAAACCGCGAGGCCCAGGACAAAGTAGCCGGAGCTCCATGGGAGAGCATGGCGCTCGGCGGCCCAGCATTGCCTGCCCCCGTGGAGCGCCTTCCCTGCCCAGGTGCTTAGCTTCTCCGAGACTCTGCTCCTCCAGAAAATTGACATCTAACAATACAAGGTGTTCAGTCGAGCTTTACATGCAGCCCCCAAAGGGCTTATTTGTGAGAAACACAAAGGCGAAGAGTTGGCTAATAGCATCATTAGAAGGGGAAGGAGGTGAGAGAGGGTTGGACAAGGCTGTGATGGAGTTTCTGTTATTTCTGGTGGAAAGGATTCAGGAAAATTCTCTCACAGAAGGCTGTGGCAGGAACTTCCCTGGCCTGCTGACGGGTCAGAATAGAAGAGTCTAAGCTGGGTACCAGTGGCTCACACCTACAATCCTCACTACTCAGCAGGCTGAGATCTGAGGATCTTAGTTCAAAGCCATCCTTGGCAAGAAAGTCTTAACTCCTATGAACCACCAGAAAACTGGAAGTAGTGCTGTGGCTCTAAGTGGTAGAGTGCTAGCCTTGAGCAGAAAGAGTTCAAGGACATCACCCAGGCCCACCCTGAGTTCAAACTCCATGACTGCCAATATAAACAAATAAGAGTCTATGTAGACTTGGAGTGTTGATCTCATTCTATTTCTTCCTTATCTCAGAGTTTTCTGAAGTTTAAGCAGACTTTTTCTTCCCAATACTACAACTCGCAGCCATTTTCCAGCAAAGGAGAAGTCACGTGAGAATACAAATATTAAATGAAATATTTAAATATCAAATGAAGACCAAAAACTCTCCTCCTCCGATCACCCCCAGAGATATCCCTTAACCTGTGTTTTGGGGATGAGCAAAAACATTCATGGGGCTGCCCACCCCTGAAGTCAGGGGCTCTCTGCCCTGGTGATGCCCACTGCCAGGAGACCTCAATCACCAGTCGATCAGTTAATCCATCAAAGGGCAACTCACTTGTAAAGATATTCGGTGGTATGCGTCTTAGTTATTTGGGATGTTAACTTCCTGGCAGATGCTTGGCCGGTAGGTATTTCCCCGCTTTCTGCAGGCTATGGCTTTACTCTGATGACTGCTTCTTTTGTTGTGCGGAAGCATTTTAAGTTTGGTAAACTCCCACTTGTTTGTTTGCACTTTGGTGCCAGTGTTGGGGGTGATTTTTATCCTCCGATTCATTGCCTGGATCTGTGCCACAGAACTCTGTGTTTCCTTCTGGCAGTTTTATGGCTCTCGGTCTCACATGTAATTCTTCTGCCCGTTCTTAGTTTAGTTGGCAAATCTCTCTGATGCCATTCTTCTGCATGGCTGTCTTTGTTGCAAACTGATTGATGGCTAACAATGTGCGCGTTAAGTTCTGGCCTCCCGATTCTCTTTCGTTGGCTTTGTGGGTCTGTTTTTATGCCCGTGCCGTGCCACTTTGACTCGCGTAGTTTGCAGTATAGTTGGAAGTCAGGTAGTATGGTACCTCCTGCTTTCTTCTTCTGGCTCGAGACTCCCTTTGTTCTACAAGAGGATACATTCAAATCTCTGCTGTTGCCATGTAGGGGCTGTCGTTAATAACAGCATGATATATCACATACCTGATGATTGCCTGAACGGTTCCCACTACAAAACATGAGTTTTGAAGGCAATGCATGTTCACGAGTTCTATCTAGACATT